TGTCAGAAAGTACACCAGGGGCTGAACGTTGCCAGCCTCTGGAAAGGCTCCTGCTTTGTACCATGTGGTCACCCGGGGAAATGCTTGTGTTCCACTTGCAGGCCCAGCGGAGGAATCGGTTCTGGGAGTTCATCGAGGAGCGGGAGAATGGTGATCCGTTTGAAACCGATGAGGATGAGGTGGTGACCTTTGAGCTTGGTGAGATGTTGCTTATGCTGTTGGCAGCAGGAGGTGACGATGAGCTAACGGATTCCGAGGACGAGTGGGACTTATTTCATGATGAGCTGGAAGATTACTATGACTTGGATCTATAGCACCTGTCAGTGGAGTGTGGACTGTTGTCTTGGCTTCAGGCAGTAGCTATTACCTGTGGTGTTGTGGCAGTGCCTGTGTTTCTCCTAGGCAGGCCGATCAATTCCAGGTGCTGTTGTAATAACTTTTACCCAGGGTCTGTCTCTTCCCATCCCCTCCTCTCCCACCCCAGGAGTGTTGTTTTTCCTCTGTTTAAACAAATAACAAGAAATAAATCTTTAAAATGTTAGTTTTTGTAAAAATAAATTTAACTGTCAAACAGTTAGCTTAGGTTTGTTGCTTCATCTGTGTACCCAACAGAGTTCACCCAGTTCCAGGGTTAAAGTGTTTACAGGACTTCCACACTCATTTTGAAGAGCCCAGATACAAAAATGAGCAGTGGCCATGCAGTGGGGATGTAAATTGGCTGATGGCCCTTCTTCTGTCTTTGTACCATTACTTCTGATTTCAGGCCAGATACAAATACTCTTTCTGGCATCAGCTCCGTTCCAGCCCCCTCATGTACACGTCTTCATTTGTGATTTTGGTCTCTGTTTACTTGCACATTACTATTACTACTGTGTAACCAGAACCAGGTGTGAACGTTCTGGGTTTTTACTGTGTTTAGCATGAAAGGAAAATGTCTTTGTGAAAGGAGAACTCTCTATGTGTATATACCGATAAATGTGGAGTTGGACCTCAAGGATGGGGAGACTCTGTAAGTTAAAAAATAACAAAACCATCTTTCATCCCCTCTTGGTGCATGAAGTGTAGCCTCCAACTGGACATGAAACTGGTTTAGTGGTCTCAGCCCAGTCTGCGGCAACGATCTTAACTATTGCTTAACTTGATAAACAGCACTCCCTAATACACCAGCTCTATTTCATGTGTATGGTTAGGGTTGTCAGGAGCAGAAATCCGGTTAGCCAAGGTGGGGTCAGAGGAACACCAGAGAGGACCCTTTAGCTTTATCGCTCTGTAAGTTTTAGAACTTCATGTAAACACTTAAGCCGTGAACTTTGCTAGGAAATCACTGTTCCCCTCAGCTGCTCTGAGGTTCACGTGCTCTCTGCAGCTGAGTGAGGCAGGTTGCCTGGTAAAGCTGTTCAGTTTATGTGACTTACTGCTTACAAAGGCAGTCATGCAGTTTCTGGCTGTAATTTGCATTGAGAAATTACTTTGCCACCAAAGCCCCGGCACAGGAATTTTAACCTTGCATTACATTATTGCTGTTTTTTATTGACTTGTGGATGCCCCGTGATCTGTTCTCCTGCTGCTCTTGTCCCCTAGACTGCCTCTCCTTTCACTTTTAAATGGAATGAGAAATTGTTCTGAGGTCTATAACGTATTGTTTTGCAGCTGCCTTTTGTAAGAAGCACTTTTCCCAAATAAAAAAAATCAAAAAAATTAAACAAGGAGTCAGTCTGTTCTTTTATGTTTGAAGCTTCTGTTTTTTAGCTTGATTATTTTTGTGTGTTTCTGTAAATATAAAGGCATTTGTCACTTTTTCTTAACTCCTCCAGAACTGTGTCACTCTCAATATGGAATTTTGGTATTGTTACAACTTTTCTAGCAAAGAGCCTGTAATGTAAGGAACACATTCTGCACAGACAGCTGAGGCAGTGGAAAGGTTGAAGGAATATCTAGGGCCATTAGTGAGCACAGATGTGGCTTGCTTTCTCAGAAGTAGTTTTTGCACTGTTGTATTACTTTTATTTGCCCTGAACAAAGCCCCAGTTGCAGTACATATTCTATCCATAGATTCCTGTCGTAATGATGTTGGCACAGCAAGCCCAAGGACTGCTACAGGCCACTTCCTTTGACTCCACATGCTTCTACAAGCCTATGTGTGTTCAGAAAGAAGCATTTTTCTGCAGAAATACATGAAGTTGGAGGTAAACTAGTAAAAACTTATTTAGTTGCTGAAGGATATGAATAAGACAACTTTAACTGAACAAACTAAAGCCATTTTTGGGTTGGTTGGTTGGTTTGGTTATGTTTGTTGTTTTTTTTTCCAGAGCCAACTAGCGGAGGGAGAAAAAGAATGTAATTTGAGCAAGTGATACTTAAAACTGATATAGGGGAGAAACAGAAAAAATAAAAGCCTTCCTCCCCTACGTGGTGAACATAAGTTGCTACATCCTATTGGAAAACTGCATTCAAATGTAAGTTTAACAAAGATGTGTTCTGGTAAGGTGGAAGAAGGTAAAACTTACCAGCCAGAGCACACACATGAGGTTCTTTTCATAAGGGGTGAGAAGTGGTGTGCTTTGCTCTGTGTGGGTGTACACGTGGCACAGTGGTGGATGCTCCCGCTTCTGAAGCGGCTTTCTGTGGGTGTTACAGGGGAGGCTGAGGACACACAAATGAATGATTTGCTCTGGTGGAGGCTGTTGGGCTGTTGCAAGGTGACTGATGTGGTCACGTGCATCATGACAAGTAGCTTCTGTTGCTCTCACTTTGAATCGTGCTGTGGCTCCTGTTCTGCAGGTTCAAGAGCTGCATGTATTTGTCACCAGGCAGTACTGTTGTGTGCCACTTGTGTCTGAACCTTGCTGGTGGGAGGTTTGTTTCTAAGCCTGCTGTAGCATTGTGCTTTCTACCTTCCACCCATCCCAAACTGGAACAACTGAAAATAGTAGGGCCTTTGAAATAATGTTAGTAGGCTGTTATGCTTTTCCTTTGTAAGAACAGGAATAATTTCAGTAGAATTAAGGCAAACTTTTAATGTAAAAAGATGGAGGGTGACAGCTTAGGCTGTGCTATGTTTTCTTCAAGCACATACCTAAGGTACAGAAACTGAAGAGGCCAATCAGAGTAATGTCAAGATGAAAAGGTATCAAGTCTCCATAACCTTCTACCAGCAAAGTCTTGATTTCAAAACAAAAATCTTCAGAAAAAGATGCATGCTCTCACTTGAAGTGCCTTGACTCTACTCCCTAGGCCAGGGTATATACATTTAGTTTGATACAAAACTTTGCCTCTTGTGGTAGGTGCAGAGTATGTGTGCTGCCTGTTCTCACTGCTCTGAATGGGATGATACAAGCTAAGAGTACTTGTTAAAACCTCTGCTGCTTCAGTTCAAACGGTGGTAGCACAGCTTGCCCTTGACTGTAGCCCAAGGTGGATTGTAATCTTTGAGGGGATGCCTGATGCATGTAGTGAAATACAGAGTAGCTCACCTTGCCTTAGCAGGAAACTTATGGGGTGTCTCAGGTTTGGAACAAAACTTGTGTAGCTGAAATTATCAATGCTGCAGCAGTTTAAAAGGAGAGAGAGCCCCCATGTAATCCCCTGGGATTGAGATACAATACAGGACTTCACTGCAGGGATCAAGTAGCTACCAAGTCAGTTTAATGCAAGCATTAGAGAGACATTATTAAACTAGTTGTGGTGAGCCTCACTTCAGGTTAGCAAAACAAGACTTAGCAGAGAAAACTGTATAAGCAGTGATATTCATGGACACAGCAGTAGCAAGGAAAGGCAGGACTCCAAATATGCTAAGCTTCTGCCCTGTTATATATAGATGTGCTGTTTGTCACTTGCTGTCAAGCCAGAGTCAACAGCTTGATGTGACTGCATTGACAGAGGTTGTGCAGGCACCTGAGTGCTGATTTTTAGAACAACAGCATAAGAAAAATACTTCAAAAAATATTTAAAAGTCCGACCCATCTCAAACTGGACATTCCTATTACAAGGTGAAGTATTCTTAGGAAAAAGGAGCTCTGGGCATGTCTAAAACTATTCTCAAAGGGCTCCCATATCCCAGCATTGCCTGTTCCAGTTCCTAATGCAATTGCACGAGAGTGGTGCTTGAAAATTATTTCGGGAGTCGGTACGTTGAGCAATGAGTATTTAAGCCCACACACACACACACCTGCAGCCAAATGTGGTGTCCTTAAGGAGCTGAGACCCATAAAAAGCTGCCTGTTGGCAGCCCACAGCTGGAAGGGGCATCTCCTAAAAGCACTTTCGTTTGAGCACTCACCTGGTGGGGGGAAGCTTCACTTTCAATTCCTTGTCCAAAAGCACAGGCATGCATCTCCTTCCTGAAAAAAGGCTCAAGGATAGAGCTCTCCACCTCTGTCAGGACCTGAAAATTGCTTTCTCTGTCTCCTTTTCAACTATACTTAAACATTAACTAGAATGATTAGATAAGAACCTCAGCTTTTGCAATTAAGAGCCTGTCTCCTGCCTATGAAGCAAAGCCTGACCACATAGGCAGTGCTATATGCCTTCCACTTCACTGGCTTGCTGTTATGTTGACTTTCAAACTAGTCAGCTTCTGGGAGGTGTCAGTTTGCTCCATTTTAAAATACTTCTTTTTTTTTTTCATTATCCCATTTCATTGGGTAAGTCCTGCTTCAATCTCATCTGGCATGGCTGCAGTGCAAGTAATGTGCCACAGCTAAGATTGAAACACTTCCAAGTAGATAAAAACTTAACAAATGTGCTCATCTTCAAGCTGAATGTGCAGCTTTTAAAACTGAAACCCGAGGGACAGCAGTAGTTTTTAGAACAGTGGTGTAAACAAGCTATACTTTGAACAAATGCATTAATGATACTGTCAGGAAGCACACTGAATTTGCATGTGATGCTGGGGAACAAAACCATTAATGGAATATTCCGTAGCAGTTAATGCCACTTTGCCTTGTCACAGCTGTGTGTTCCCACCTGCTCTCTGATGGGGAAAGGCAGAACCACAGAAATTACACCGAGTTTGTATTTTAATCTAGTGGTTCTCACAGTCTATAATAACATGCCACAGTAAAGGGGTTTTTTTTAAAGTTTATGGCTTCATGTATTACCTCATGAATAATACCATTACCAGTATACTCTCTGAAGAACCTTGTTAGCAACTGCTGCAGCTTGTTCTTCATTCAGGCGAGGACAGCTTGAAAAGTGTCCCTGCAGAAACCATTCAGTGTAACTGCCCAAAGGCCGTGTGGAAGATGCCAAACAGAACCAACCAGAAGAGGTCATGCTCCTGGTTTAGTTGCACAATGGGGAGGTGTTTAAGACTAGTTTCTTGAAGGAGGAGAAGGGAGCCTGTTAGACCTGTTAAAGGAAAGGGGACAGTGCAGCTCAAGGCATGGTCACAAGCCTGTCCTCCCTGATCCCGTGTTGCACAGCTTTCTGTGAGGAAGAGAATGGCAAGAGCCCTGTAACCTGGCAGTGCTGGGCAGTCAGGGAGGACCACATCAGCCTGCAGAAATCTCCATACTGAGGGTAAGCAAAATAACTTGATACACTAATTGCTAATTAAGGTAGTAAACCCAATGAACCATGCCAAGGTTAACACCGCCAGTAACATGGTGAGATGAACACAATACTTTTCTATTACAGTCTCCTGAAAGATACAAAAAAAAAAAAGAAAAAAAAAAAGAGATGGATTACGACCGGGAGTAGTTTGGATTTTAAACAGAAAAGAATATTAACCTTATATTTTACTGTTTTCGTAGTGACACGAGGTGTAGAAACTAGTAGTTTGGAAGCTTGCTTGCCACTTGGAAAGGTTATGGTATTTATTGTTGCCTAAATGTGCAAACTGAAATGCAACTACTAGGCTAGTACTGAATGAAGAAGAAATAAGATTTAAAAAGTAAACATCAGAAGGAGGATGTCTGAAGATGAAGCTTTCTCTACAGCAGGCAAAAGGCTTAGAGGCTAGCATGGAGGATTCCTCCCTCAGTTTACACACAGCTGCTCTTTGCATGTGATAGCAAAGAACTTAGCCAGAGAAAGCATTAATAATATTAGAAGTATTTCCAAGACTATAAATCAGTGATTCATTCTGCTTTATTTTTTGTGCTTCTCAGACAAGATTTTCCAGAAATATTTGCTACGTGATTTTCCCTATTTTTCCAGGGCTTAGGAAACATGGGCAGACCACCATCAAGTAAGCCAGCAACCCACCAGCCTTCCCAGGGCTGCTCTGAATGTGACACAGACCATATTTTATCGTTACAGAGTTTGAGTTGCAGCTCATAGCTTAACAGTAACTGACACACTTCGGTACATGAGGACTGCAGTCAAAAGAACTTTCCCCTGTATAATATTTCTTTCCTCCCTCTCCTTCCCTGTTTCCATCTACTGGGAAAAAAAAATGCAAACAAAACAACAGAGAAGAAAAAACCCTACATCAACAACACAAAATCCAAAACAAAACTCAAAAAAACCACCAAGAAAACCTCAAAGCCCACACCAAAAAAACCCCCAACCAAACCCCTTCATTCAGTTCAGTTATACAGAAGTGACCCCTGAGTAGCAGAGCTTGCATTTGGGAAGAGCAATCCAAAACCTTCCACATTGTTCAGTCCCCACAGCAGTAGTGTATATACTTGCCTAGGGCAGCTTTCTGGTGCACCCCATACCATTCACTTACTGCTCTAACACAAGGTTACCTAATTAAACCATCTTACCCCTTGCTGAGTTTTACAGGAGCTTGGATCCATCCTTCAGACTACCTTGGAAATCTGCAGGCATACTCTCAAGCTGCCATTGGCCCTTTGCACAAGCTACAGAAGGCTTTTGGTTAAAGTCAGCACATCAAAAAGCATGATGAGGTTAGTGGGGAGAAAAGAAAAAAACATCCTTTCACTGGAAGCTTTGCTTCTAGCAAGTCTGTGTAGCAAGATGGAGACCAGTACTGGAAGCAATTCTGACAATTAGGGAGCAAAGTGAAAGGCAGTCTTCTCACCCCAGGAAGAAGTGTATCCTGTTCTGCCTGCCATGTAACCCCAGGGATGTCTCCACTTGTTCTTTCACAAATGTTATTAAGTCCCTTGGGATGAGTGGCTACATGCCTGACATCAGGACAGCCCCTAAATGAAAGTTTAAGCAGCATGTGTCAGACTTCTTACAGCTACGGGCAGAGCGGAAAGTGCTTGCACTTAGAACCAGCAACATAGCTCAGAAGGGTCAAATTAACACACAGCTCCGGTGCAAATTCATCTTCTGACACAGCCAGAAAAACATTCAAAGGCTATAATTAAAGGCAATAGTTTTTATAGTTCTCTTTGATTAAGGCAAGGGCTGGCAGCTTCCTGAGTCCTCTCAGCTCATTGCCACGTTTAAAGCAACCTGTGCTACCAACAGCAACAATGATCTCTGAAAATACTTACAAGCCAAACTCCAAGGTAGAGATATCAAGAGACATGGCTTGAGGCCAGAGAGGACACTTTCATCAATTGAATACAATTGCATCAAACAGCCTCAGAAGAATGACAATTTCCAAGCTCTTCCTGAAGTTTCTCTTCAACAGGGGCACTGGGCCTTCTCCACACTTGGACTGGCAATCACTGGCTTGGAATCAAGACAGAAGCTGTTTGGAGGGTTCTCTCCATGAAGCTGTAAGGTATTTCGGGCTATTAGCTCCTTAGCCATTAACATGAACACCTCTTCTATGTTTTGAGCTTCTTTTGCTGATGTCTCCAGTACAGCTAAGAGCCCGTGCTTCTCTGCCAGCGTGCAGGCATCTTCAAACAGGACCTGGCGCTTATCCAGTGAGTCTGATTTGTTCCCTTAAAAGAAGGCAAATAGACATTCAATAAGTTAGTCTCTCAAAAATTCATCTTTAAATGCAATGGATTAATTAAATTCTGTTAAACAACAGATTTATGTTAGGTGTAAGTTACTGGAAAGAACAAGATGTAAGCACATCGGAGCCACAAACACAGACTGTGGATCAAAACTGCAGCTAATCATAGGATAGGAAATTACTTGAAATCCAAGAAAAAACTAAAAACCTGTGTTCATCTAATTATTTGGTGTAGGTAGTGGTGCCAAAGGATTGTTTGGAAGCAACTACTGGTTCTATTCTTTAGTGGTTTTAAACATTTAGTAGCATTTAGGTTAAACACTTTAAAAAAATCTTTTAAGATGATGTCAAAAAAGACAAGAATTCACACTAGCTACTTTAATGCTTAAGATAGAGACTTGTTTCTGCATATATAGATTAAAACTTTTACTTGCAGCACTCCAGTCAAAGTCTATCAGAAAGCGTGAAACGCCTCAGATAAAATACCTTTGTATATTTAAGTAGTTGCAGCACATGTGGAATTATCAGTTCTGGTACATGCAGTACCTGGCTGAAGTCTACATTCATAGTTTCAAGACAGCCCTTCATCAAATTCATATCTTGAATTTGAAGCATATACAAGCCAACTCCCCTCCCATTAAGTCCCTTTCAATTTTTCTAAAAGGAAAAAACCCCAACAAAAACAACAAAACAACCCCCCCCACAAAAGAAAACCACAACCCCCCAACAAACAGCTGGAGGGTTATTTGGCTTCTTAAAAAGAGCCCTCCCTTCCAGATGGGAAAGTTAGACTTCTTAACCTTAACCTCATGCTAGAAGGGTGTATAACGTGCTCAAATGTAATTAAATGTACAAAGACTTCTGCCAAAGTAAGTAAAGCAAACAGCAGCAGCTCTGGAAGAAAGCACCAAGCTGAAACCTTATCAAAAGCTTTATTTTTACCAATTTCAGAACTTTTCTCTTTAAAAAACAGCATCAACCACCACCAGCCCCCACCACACACAGGTAAGTCTTTTCTTTAGATTCATGACAATAGTTAGAAAAGCCCTGCCAAGTTCAGTGATTTACACCCACCCAATTCTAAGCACTGCAGTTACAGATGCGGGTCAGAATTTGTTGTTTGTCTCTTCAGAGGAAGAACAGGAAGAACCATCACAGCCGCAGTAAGTACTGTGCTGGGAGCACAAGCAGCAGCTTCTGTCCCAGGCCTGTTGTGCCGTGGGGCTCAACCTGCCCGCCCTCAAGAGCCAGTCTGGGCTGCTGTGGCTGCATGCAATGCTCTCAGCACAGCGCCACAGCACAACAGGCAGAGGCTGTGGAATGTCAATAAAAGCTCTGTCATTTTACTACACTAGTTCTCTCATTTGCAGCTTCTTCCTTGGGGACAGGAAGAGCAATAACCACCTGAAACCAAGAGAAGGAACCACGCTGCTTCCTACCAGCTCCAGTTCTCAGCGATTGCTTCCTCAAGAGGCAAAGTTTCCCGAAGCTAGTGGAAAGTAAGCAGACTACTTCATGCCCTGCAAAAGCCAGTTCCCCATCTATTGTCTTACCTGATAGGAATCCCATTACAGAGCAATGCGCATGCATATCAAAAGAACAGAGAGGAAAGATGAGAACGAGGAGTTGTGTTGCTCTGTGCATTCCCCTTCAGTCTTGAATTATTGAGCCTCTACATTCCTGTGCATCAGGAGTATAGGGTCAGACTTACTGCAATTCTAACCTCAGCAAGGCTGTCCCTGCCTCGAGCCTGGCAGCAAAACTTGTTGAATTATTCCAACAGGAAAGAAAAAAGTAAAAAAAGGTTTCGCTGTCTGCAGTGGGTTTGGTCCTGTCAGGACCAGGTTATGACTTTCCTCATTTTTTTTAAAGCTTAGGCCACACTGATATATTTTCTGATCTTCTGTAATTAGAACTGCATTCTTTCTTAATGCGTAGTTTATAGATGCTTCAGGTAGTGGGGGAAAGTGAAGGAGATTTTATATTCATGTTAAAAAAGCTACATAACACAATATTTAAAATTAAAATCCTACCAATTAACATCATGACCAAGTTTGCAGCACCATACTTTTCAATTTCATGAATCCAGTGAGGAATGGATTCAAATGTGGACCTCCTAGTAAGGTCATAGGCAAGGATGGCCCCATGGGCACTCCTGTAATAAGACTGGGTTATTGTCCGGAAGCGTTCTTGGCCAGCTGTGTCCCACACTTGGATCTGTAAGAGAAAGGACAGAAGTTGTAAAGGCCAGTGAATGCCACTTCCTAGGTGTTTGCCAGCATCATCCAGGCTTTTGAAACCCCTTGTTTAGAAGGCAGCCAGACCTGCCTCAGCTCTCTCTGCTACAACACTGTGGCTTTGCCTTCTCTGGGTCTGAAGAGACATTTATGAGCCTGTAAAGTCAATCTACACAGTCCAAAGAGAAAGCTGCAAAGGTAAACCCAGCTTTGTAAAGAGGCCAAGAACTCTAGTTTCAACAACTGTACTAAAAGATTTAGAGTATTACAGGCTTTTAACAGGAAAGGAAGAAGCCCTGATGTGGGACTGGGCAGAGCAAATCTATATAAAGGGCAGGCATCTGAACTTCCATCTGCATGCAGAGGGAAGTTCTAGCTAACCATTTCTTCTGGTGTCTGTCTTAGAAGCCTTCTTCCCTCAAATTAAGCACACATCAAAGTGTAGCCTTTGCAAACTAGAGGGTTTTCTCTCCTCAGTGTCCCAGCTTAAACCCCCCCATCTCTGACAGAGGTAAGAGACAACCCCTCCAAAATACAGCAGTCTTCCAAAGAACTCCCTGCAGGCAAAGTGTGAGCCCTCTCCTCAAGTAGATGCAGAGAAGTCACGAGAGCAAGCATGTACCCAAATTAGGGTGAGTGCCTCCCCCAGGGCACGCTCCTGAGAGAAAGCTCCCCTTGGAAACACCCCTGGTCAGAAAGGCGGCCAGCTTTTGCCAGCTGCCTTCATTAGGGCCAAGCAGGAGATGCTGTGCATCCCACTACTCCCCGGCACCTGCATGGGAAAAGTGACACGGGAAAGGTGCTGCCCACCAAGAGTCTCGGGCTTGCTCCCGCCACGGACCTTTACTTTCTTGCCGTCGATGTCCATCGAGCGCACGGTGAAGTCGACGCCGATGGTGTTCTGCTGCTTCTCGTTGTACTGCCCCGTCTTGAAGCGGTGCACCACGCAGGTCTTCCCCACGTTGGAGTCCCCGATCAGGATGATCTTGAACAAGTAGTCGAAGGCATCGTCCGCGCCGGAGCTGGGGAACGGCATCGCGGCTCCCGGGCGGGCCTGCGGCGGGAGCGGGGCGGCGGGGGGGGAGGACAGCCGCGGGCCCGAGGAAGGAGCCCCTGTCCCACCGCTCACCTGTCGGCGCTGCCGCCGGGCCAGGTACGCCCGCTTTCTACGGCCTCGGCCCGGGCCGGCGGGAGATGTAGTCCGGGCCCCCCTTCCGCCCCGCCGGCCGGGGGACGCTGCCGGCGCCCGCTCGCTGCCCGCCCCCGGACGGGAGGCGGGCAGGGCCCTCGCAGCGGCCGGGGCCGGACTACAGCTCCCGCCGCTCCGCGGGACCGCCCGGAAGGGCGGCCTCCCTCCCGCCGACTTCCTCCGGCAGCGCTGGGCGCCGGGCGCGGTACGCGGGGCGGGCGGGCGCGGGAGCTCCCCGGGAGGTGCGGTGGGAATGCCGTGGGATGGGATGCGGTGGGATGCGCATGCCGCGGCGGGGTAGCGGCCGGTGGCGGAGCCGGTGCGTGCCCTGCGCTTGCCCCGCTCGGCTCCGCTCCTCGCCCGCCGAGGACGTGGCCGCTCCGCCACCTGCGCGGGGACCGGGGCGGGAGGAGCCGCGTCCTCCCCGCCGAGCCGAGCGCGGGGGGATGCGCTGCCGGGCTCCGGGCGCTGCCGCGCCGCTGCAGATGCGCTGCCAGCGGGGGCCCGGCGGTCGGATCGTGCTCGCATCCTCCCGTGCTCGGCAGCCCCTGTTCTTCCCAGAACAGCGTCTGACGGGCGTCGGGGTGGCGGACGGTCTGCCTGTGCTGGCGGCGAGGGCCCTGTGGGTTTGGGTTTGTGCTGCCGTGCTTCGTTCAGTTTGGAAAGATGGCGTAAGAGTGGACTTTGTTGTTTAGGGTTTATATTATTTATTTATTTATTTATTTATTTATTTATTTATTTTATTTAATTTTTAAGAAAAAAATCCGTTTGTTTGGCACTTTTTAAGTCTCAGGAATGTGAATGCTAGTCTTTCCTGCCAGCTTTGAGGGACGGCAAGATAGTATTAAGGAAGTTTGTTTTGAACTTAAGGTGTCTTATTTTGACCTTAAGGTGTCTTATTATGACTTTAAGTGAAGGGATAAGAGAACTAAGGGGGAAGCTTAACAAATAAGGGTGAAAGCTTAACAGAAGCTTACTCAAAATATTGGCTAGCTGAAGATAAATAGTGCAAAACAGTTAGACAAGGTAGTCTTAATACCCTGAAAGTGCTCCTCTTCCTTTCTTAAAGGCTTGTGCTTCACTGTCCTGAGTTCTGTGGGTTATCCTGCTGCCTAGTTTTTGCTTCCCCTCCACTACAAACTTACTGTGGTGTTCTCAGAATAATTAGAAGACTAATTTTTGAGGATTAACCTCCTAGTTGCATGCATTTCTAGCCTAGGGAGAATGTCAGTTTTGAATAAAGAAAGAACAGGATGAAGAAAAAGGGAAAACAAAATCTTTCACAGTCATCTCTATACTGTGAAAGTGTCCTGTGCCAGAAGGTCTTCTAGAAAGCTAGCTGAGATTGAGAAGCTCTGAGAAACTGATTGTTTCAATAATAAATGCTATAGAATAGGTGACTTTGAGGTCAAACTAGGTCTTAGCTTTAAAAAGACTCAGTATCTTGGACAAATAAGATCTATATTTGCATCTGTTGACATAAAGTGAGTAGTAAATCTTGTGCTCCGGGCTGCAAACTGATTACCCGAGGAAGGAACTTTTCCCTGCAGTGTTGCACAACTGGCAGTGGTTTGCTTTCCTCAGGAGTGCTCTGTAACCTGCTGTTGCCTGGTGGGAGGGGAGGGAGAGGCAAGGAAGAAGAACGAGCTCTTGTGTTTGACCAACAGACCGTGTGGTTCACAGGCCCATAAGGACCGCGGTGCTGGGAAATTGGAGTGCCTTGGCTTCCCTTCTCTTCTTTATGCAGCTTGTGGGGCAGACAGCCCTGAGCAGCGTTACCACTGCCTGAAAGGGAGTAGCCCTGTGTGGTACTTGTGTGAGTGCTGAGTTTTCATTCACTGGTGCTGAGAAATGGTCTGAGACCTCAGGGGGAGAGTAGTATCAAGACTACTTGTGAAGTTGCCTCTTCCTAGGCTAGCCTTGCCTTCCCACAGCTCCAGCTGTAGGTGCTTTTTTTCTTCCTCTGTGCAAACCTAAGCAATCTAGAAGCATGTCCCTACAAGGAGGTGCTGGCACACCAAGGTGCTCTGTGCTAGCTGGAGCAGTGGGAGTGTGGCTCAAATGCACCTGGGCTGTATAGAGGCAGGTCTTGTACAGACTTGCTGTATTTGTCTTGGATGAGAATGGAGGCATTCAGGTGTGGTGTAGGTTAAACATGACTCCAGTGTCTCAGAGCAGTCACAGCTGGATCCATATTACTCAGAGGATCTCTATGCCGTACTCTGTTCTGGAGGTCAGATGTGACCTGTTTTGGAGGTCAGGTTTCAGTTTCCATGATGGTTCATGTCTCCAGTAGTAGCTGTTATCCTTTTGTCAATCAGGCTCGCATCATCATTTAGAGGACAGGAAAGAAAGACTTCCTGCAGTGAAAGATGTCTTAATGAAACCTTTAAAAGCTATTAGAAGGAAGAGCAGAAAGTCTCTGTGAAATACAGCATTTTCAGCAGCAAAAATTTGGATGAGACTATGTCTGGGCAGTGACTTCTAATTTCTCCAAGTGAGGTTATAAAGCTGAACTTGAAAAGTCTTCTGTCAGATTTGCAAATAATTACAAAAAGCACCCATGGATACAGAAGAATACAAAGGCACTATCTTCTGTCTTATTTCAGTGCTGAGGGGGAACCAGTTCAGTTTCAGTTCCTTTGGGGGAACAGGTGTGGTGCTTTATTTTACCTCTCCTCAGCTTTCAGAATGCGTGTTGTTTGCACATCTTCTGCAAATGCAGTTCCCACCAGTGGATTTGTCCCAGTGTCTCAGGCCAGTGAGTGCTGACAGGATTGAGCTCTGCCTTCAGCAGCAGCGTTGGTGTGCAGCATCTCTCTCTCTCTGCACTGCTCTGTCTGTCACATGGACACAAGCCTTTGTGTAGCTGCTTTTTGATCTGTGGTAGGGAAGTTGGCTGAAAAAGATCTCAACCAAGGAAACAAAAGGCAGCTGTGGGGAGAGATTCACCACCTTGCTGCCCAGTGGGGCTGTTTGCCAATCTCAAGTTAGCAGAAATGGTCCCTCGACCACGCCAGCACAGCTCAAGGAGTGGAGTAGTGTGACATAAACTAGCATGAAGAAACTGTGCATCTATCATAGCCTTCCCTCAGCAGTGATAATTTCTGGGTATGTAGAAGTTGGGGCAGATGTCACCCGTGCCCTACAGGAAGGTATGACTTGTGCTGTACTAATGAGTTAGTGACAGATGGAGCTGTAATGTCGGGCTTGAGAATAAATAGGCAGGGAGTCTAGCTGTTGGATTTCAGCACTGTCCTCACGGTTACTTTCCTTTTTCCATCTGTGCAAGTCCACTCTTGGCTATATTCTTTCAACAAGATCTTAACAAGGCAGTTAGATCCCAAACCATTCTCCAGCAGCCAAAGGCTGCTCTCATGATTTCATCACCAGTCTATGACCAGCCAGGTAGCAGTGGAAAGCTGTCTTATTTATGACCACACTGTAGTTCATCATGTGTGTAAATGGTGCAGAATGGTTTTTAACGTGGGAATGCTGGGAATTGGTAGATCCAGGGGGAACCCCTTTGGTGATGGGCACTGAAGAGGTATATGCTAGGGGAGAAACAAAAAAGAAGTGGGTTGGGAGATGACCATCAGGGTACTGAGAGACTGGGAATAAAAAGGCACGTTTAGGCATAGAAGATGTTAAGGAATGTACAAGTGATGAGATAGGTAGTGGTGTGAAACAGACGGGGAAGGAATGGTGTGCAGTTGTTTCTTCTGAATTCCAGCTGTTTGGGGAACAAAACTGTGCCTTATCCATGTGTTTTAATCCAAATATATTTTCTTTTCTCCTCCCTTCCCACCTTCTTCTGTTTAAGTGAGAAGAAAAAAATGACCTAATCACCATCCAGCCCTTGTGGCCAGGGCAGGAGCAAAGGTAGGGCTGCCAGGAACATGGCTTTGCCTGGAAGCTTACGGAGGCAGCCTGCAAACAGAGGCCTTGTGTCCCATTGCACCCACCATCATGTTGTTGTGTTCCTGCTGACCTTCTTCAGGTAGGTTCGGTGTATCTCTGCACAGAGAGGTGTTCATCTCACTGAATTTAGGGAAGCGAGAGCATGTCATAGAAGAATGAAGGCAGGGAAATAGTCTTAACCTTTGGCTGTGAGCCTTGAAAACTAACTTATAAGCTCATAGAGCCAATCAGTCTGGGACTCATGCAGTTATAGAGGTAGGGGTGTTATGTCCCTGGGGAATCCAACCACCAAAGGTGAGGCTGGCTGTGCCAAGCCAAGAGCAGTCTATTGCAGAAGGGTGAAATCCCTGTCTTCCCATAATTTGGGGGTTCCCACTGCTGACTGCTATCTCCAAAACTGCCAGTCCTCTGCTATGCTGCCTGCTGAGACAGTGTGTATCTGTATTTGATACCCCACCCTTTCCCACTTGACCTCCAGAGAAGATCTGGCCAACCTGTGTCTTGTGTGTTTTCTGGCAGTTATTCCCTGCTCCATGCTTCCAGAAAGACATTCAGTAATGTCAAAGTCAGCATTTCCAGCCAATGGACTCCTTCCTGCCTTAACAGCACGGCCCCTGAGCTCCAGCCATATGAGGTAAGGACACAAGGGATAGGGCAGTGCAAAGAAAGATGGGTAACTTCCAGTGTGCTGGAACTTGTGAACTTGTGGTGCCCAAGAGGCCCCTTTAGGTGTCTGTCGGGAACACTTCTCGGAATGGGAGCAGAAACTTCAGGTGTTTGCATTGTAGTTTTATGGATCATCAGGTGATGATGAAATCTTTCCTAGTGGTCCCCAGAGAGCAACTCCTCAGGAAGTTACAGTGTTCCAATGGAAATGAGGACCCCAACAGAGTCTGTAATAGGCAGCAACATGAAGGAGGGGGAAAGAGGGACCCTTCCTCGGAAGTG